GTCTGGTGTATGTGAACAACACTAGCGCCTAACCCATGCATAGGAGTTTTTCCAAATTTAAGAACCCCTGACCTTTTGTCCTGAGTCGAAGATCTGCAATTGGGAAAACCATTCATTAGATTTTGGGGTTACTTTATATGCAACCTTTTGGATATTTTCAAAAATTGGTAAAAATTCTTTGAATTTCTTATAAGAATAGAGTAAATGGCATTTATAAACGTGGCATAGGTCCGATTTTCACGGTTAACTCTAAATTTTCGAATATTTGAAAAGTTTACATTTGTTCAGTGTTTTCCTAGAACTACCAAATGAAATATATTTTTTCCCTTAAAACGAAATGTGTTGCCCATAATTTGTTCTTTCATTAATGTCATGTACATATTTTTTTAAATTTTACTTTCATGCAATATAGGGAGCATTTCATGCAATTTTAAAAAATTACAAAAACCAGATTTTCTAAAAAATTCGCTCAAAATTTATTCTTTAATCTTTTGGTAGTGATTGTGCTAAATGCACTCTATGAGATGACATAAATATAATAACATACATATACATATAAAAACACTCTATTATTTTGTTATTTTATTCAAGAATTACAAAAATGTAATTGTTTGACTTGTCTTTTTCGTCGTTAATATTTATATTAGCGTTATTTAGTTCCTACTATTACATTTATGAGTACATGTGCTTTCAAAAATGTCAGATTAAGCTTCTCAAAAACTCAACGGATTTTTGTCAAAACTAGCTCAAAATTTTGCAATTTCGGAAACGCTCAAATGCCATTTTTCAAAAACGGCTACAAATTTTGGCAAGGATAGTTCTTATTGCACTCTAAAATATGTCGTAAAGTTCATTTTGCGGCATTTTCCCCCAAAATTACACAAATGTAATTTTTTTAAATATATCTCACGCCGTTAATAAGCACATTTGCAGCAATTTGTAAACACTACTGTATTTGTGAGTTGATGTGCTTCAAATGACTTAAAATTAGGTTTTTGTAAAACTTATTTTTCAAATTTTTTTCTCTGAAATTTCGAATTTATTTTAGTACTTATAAGCCATTTTTTAAAAACGACTCCAAATTTTTCAAAGAAAATTGCCATTTTTTACTGTTCTTTAATATACTTGCAATTTTTCGTTCTATTATTATGAAACCGAATAATTAAGGAAACAAAAATATGTACTTTGGTCGGAGATTCCAGAGCGGCTTGTGGTCATAGATTGCAGTTAGCAAGATGTGGCAAATTCGTATAGACGAGACCAAAGGAAATTGAAAACTAATACGGGAAATCCTGTGCCATTTCGCAGCACCAGTAGTTCTGTATCAAAGACCCGCAAAACATGAATTCTGGCTACGGTATTGTACGCGCACGCCTTCTTGAGCCTCGGAACACCTACGCCTATTTCTTTTCTAACATTAGTTGAATTAGGAATAAGTGATAATAACGAGCGTTGTTGACAAAATATGATAACTAGGAATGTTTGCTCCCATGTCATAGAAATTATTTTGCATCGGAAAACGAGCTTCAGATTTGATAATACAGTTCTGTTGACGAAATAACCAACCACACCACTCTTCTTGCATTTAGCTAAATGAGGGCTCAAGAAAACGTGCGTGGATAATACGTGTTAGAGTATTTTTGTTTCTAAATTTAGTAATTAGGTTAATCCACTTTCTCGTTTCTAGGGCCCGCCAATAGAAGTTTTTCTGCCGTAAATTCGCCGTTTTTCCCGCACCACTACATAACTTTCTCTCTACTGCGAAAGAGATAGTGAGAAAATAAAAAGAAACTACTTTACGTCATGGTGTAATAATATCTTGTATAATATATCTTACACCGTGTACACGTTGTTGTAAGAATATTTACTTTTAGTTGTATTGCGCTTAGTCACAAAGTAACAGCCAAGAGCCCACATGTTTGAACGGTGAGTATCCTCATGTCGAGTAAATTATTCATCAATTCCACTCACTGATAACGAAAGAAAACCTATTTCGTAACTACGGATTACTTGTAACGTCCACTGGAGAAAATGGTCAAATTGCACCGAGGTATATTTTCCTAAATTACTAACTTTGCATTAAATTTGCTCAGGAAACGGCATAGATTTAAGAGAATTTCGAATCCAAAATATAATGGCCTTCTTTAGAGATGATTCTGAATCTCGATTTCCGGATAGTCCACCTCTCATTTCTTTCTCTGTGAATGACGACGATGCCCTCCGTATGTCAGGAAGCTAGAATTGAAAATAGTGTTATAAGAGCAAACATTAAGAAATCCTATGGAAAGAGAACATTAACTTTAATTTTGGTTGAGGGTGAGTCAAAAGAACCAAATAAACGGGCTTTCAGCATACTCTACTTGGGTTTTTATTTCTTGGCGTATGAGGGCCTGTCTTCACGATTCGGGCCGAATTCATAGACGTCACTTATAGGATAAGCGAACCCTTAAGTGATAAGTGCTTTCTCAAAATAAGTGTTCACTTATAGGCACTCGTATTTCAAAGACGTTCCTTACGACCGCAAAATGAGTGTTCCCTTAAGTGGAAAGGAAATGTGGCAACATGGCATAGGCAGCAGTTGTTTCGAAGTTCTTGGCAACCGAGTTTACATACGCACTTCATCTTGTACAAAGAACGTCTAATTTAACAGGGGGCGGACACTCCACAACGTAGAGTTGACGTCGCGCGCACAACGAAATACTTCTACTACCTCTAATATGTCCTCATACAGACAAAACGAATTGTTTTGATATTGGTATCTTTTACTAATATGATAACTACCAATCACTAATAACAAGCAGATTTGTCAGTTGTGCACAATCCAGTTGTGCATTGTGACGACTGGATTGTTACAAATCTGCTTGTTATTAGTGATTGGTAGTTTGTATCAATTTAATCTATGATTCTCATATAATTTCAACGGCTGTCACTAATACCATGTTAATATTTAAAAAATGTATTTATTACAAATCCCTAAAAATAAGAAATGTTAAAAAATGTAATCCATGAACCTCTGCAATGTCTTGTGCAATTTCTACACATTATATATGTGCATTATTGGATTGTAATATAATACTTAACATCAGTTTCAATTGATTCCTCAATGTCAACTTATGCTCTAGTATAACTAATAAACATAAGGTGGGGGTATGGTAAATTGGTATGAACATAAGTCTTCCAATATTGGTAATGGATTATTAACATTTCATGTAATTGAAAATGTCCACCCCTCATAGCATTAACATCAATTTCATTTTACAACAATTTAAATTAATATTGCAAAATTCATATTAACTTATAATATGTCTTACAAATCAGAAATGAATAAAAGTTAAACATTTTGGAAACATTCGTGAAAGGATGTAGTTGCATAACATTTTAATGCAACGAGAACTTTTAATAAGGGGTAATCGGCAATCCTCGTTCAGTCATTGGGACTTTTGTCGATCATCGGCACAAATGTATCCATTACAGTAGTTTTAATGAAACGAAACTGCTTTCGGAATTGTTCATCATTCTATTTCATTTCCAATCATTATTCTAGTACATTTCCAATGGGTTGCTCGTATCTCTAATATATCTCTCAGAATTTCGCAGGATGTGTTGAGTATAAACCTCAAAATAATTATTGAAGTCGTTTTCCATAACATGTTTCACAAATGATAGATTTTAACTGCCTATACCATACAAACACAAGCAAAACGAATTCAATAGTCGGCGAACGCCGCGTAAAAGTATATCCTAAACTGGTTACGACTGACGATGCGAGGGAGCCATAAGGGACACTTAAGGGAGCAGGCAGCTTTGCTTAAAGGAATGAGTGCTCACTTAAGACTTCAATCAAGGGCTGTTTATGAATACGATTCGTCCACTTAAGGGAACACTCAGTGTATGAGAACTATGAATTCGGCCCTTAATTAATCACGATTAATTAAGTATAGCACGGCATTTCGCGTCTTTCTCGGTTGTGGCGCTAGATGTCGCATGTTCGCCAGCACTGATCTGAGCGGTCCCGAGCATGCGACATCTAGCGACACAGAGAAACACGCGAATAGCCGAGAAATACTCCATCTTGAAGACAGACCCTCACGCATCAAGAAATAAAAACCCATTATTTATACAATTTATTTAGTAAATAATTATTTTAATTATTTGTTAAAGTAGAAAGAAAGTTAAAATGTTTTGTTTTTTATTTTTATCAAAGGTTCACATTTATGTTTAGCATTTTCCTTTTTGTTTGTTAGTAAGTAAACAAAATGTCAGAATGAATATTTTCAGCATATTTTCTATGACTACAACACTCGACGTAGTAATCATATTCATCAAGTGGCAGTATCAACAGCTCACTATAAAAAATTCACACACAATTCATGTACCTTATTTTTACATCTTTCCAGATGACATTAAACGATTAAATTCGATACAAAAGTCCCAAAGTAAACTTTTTCTGCTTCCCAACTGGTTCTACACAATACCGAGCATCCAAAAGTAAAGTAATATTAATTTTATCAACGACATTTAGTGTACTTACCATTTGGATTGTATAATTCTAAAAAACCTGTAACAAGTATTGTACTTCAGCTTCTGGGTCAATGACCCTCATCTCGATCAGGTTTGCGACCAGTTTCCCTGACCTTTGAGCAAATGCTGAGATGGCCCTTTGTTTTGCTTCTAGACATAAATGTAACTTCAATTTAACTTCTCCCCATAGCACGTCACACACACTTTTTAACGGTTTTTAAGGTAAATAAATAAAGTTGATATTGTGAATCAATATTGACAACGATTCCGATATTTTTATCGCAGAAACAAACACATCCTCGTGCCCGAATGTAGTCCTTCAGACGCTTAACATTACAATAGGTGTATAGAAATTCAATATGTAGAATTAATATATTTAGAAATAACAACAGTAATTTACTGGGTAAAGAGAATAATGGTAACTGTTATTTTGTGAAGGGTGTCTCTTCTGTGACAAATGAAATTACGTCACAACTTACATCTTGGAATCCTTCAAAGTTGTCGAAAGTCAACGGTTTTCCGTCCAGGAAGAATTCTTTAAGGTCATCCATGGCTTCGGGGACCTCCTTGCTGTCGTCTGGAATACGGGTCTCCGGGAATATGTACTTCCTCCAGTTCGAATCGAATTGTCGCAGATTTTCTTCACTTTCAAAGACAGTTTTATTCACTGAAAAATAAACATATCAAACGAGGCATATCAAATAAAATTTAAACAAAAAAGATTGTTAAATAAGATACAAAGATAAGAAACAAAATAATATAAAAGAGCGATTGGTGAAACCTTTGTAAACGCGCGGTACTCCCAATAATAGAAATTTACTATCGTTCTATAAAACGATAAGAATATTCTTTGTTACTTTTATGCAAATTTCCAAGCATTTAATGGGCATTGAACAGGAAATAATTTTTCTTGAAAGCAGAAACGCCTTTAAACAAAGAATAGTTATCAGAATGGCACAGAGTTTCTCGTATTAGTTGTCTATTTTCTTTGGTCTGCGCTAGCTATTCGGACTATCCACATACTTTTGACAGCTCCCATTTATCGCCGCTCAAATACATTTTTTGACATTTTCTCAATTTTTTGGTGTAAAACAGTAATATCGAAATGTTACTTTAAGAATATTAAAGAAGAGTGAAACCTCGTTTTAAATGGCAATTTTCATCTAAAATGGCAAGGTTCAACTGTGTCATGCCTTGTTTGAGTGCCGAGATTACTAATGAGAAAGTTTTTGGTATATTCTTCAACAGAACAGCCTAAAGGGAGTATCATCTTCTTAATAATAAATCTCCTTAGACACATTGAGCCTTTATGAACTGTTCGCCGTGCTGCCGTAATAGAATTCGACCGTCCCAGACATAGACCTCGGAGCAATGAGACCCAGGAGAGCGCTAATTCCCTACCCAGCACTAGCGACGTATGAGGATTTGTGAAGATTTTTTATGAATGATACAAAACTTTTATTCTTATTTAGAATATGTTATGCATAGGTATATGTAAGATATTCAGCGTTTTGAAAAGCTGTGCACATTTTTAAACTTACTGGCAACGGTCAACATCCACTCTTCTCCGTTAATGCCGGCCATATAGGGCACGTCATGTTGGCAGCCGTGGCGCATCAGCTCCTCTGGCGTCGCCGTGGCGAACGTCTCTACCCCAAACACTCGCTTCTCCTCCACAGTGGGATTGAAGGTATAAAGCATCATGCGGGCACGGTCCTGAAACAAAGACAAGGAACCCCACATTGAACACATAGAGGTCTCTCTCCTTTCGTACTATATAACCAGGTTCATCCTACTTAACCGTTCAGATATTACACTAAGTCTTTCAAGTTCTATTCTCTTTCATGAAAGGTGTATTATAAAGTTTGCTGGATTTGGTGGAGTGGGGAACATCGTCCCCTTGATACCCGCCCCCCCGGATCCATCACTTGCAACCCGCTACGACTATCAATCAATCTTTCTATCTATCTGTCTATCTACCTATCTATTTATTAATTTACTTATTTATTGCCAAAACATTGATGTCTCTAACTTTCAAAAGTTTTGTATAATAAGTAATTACTAATAATTACTAAAATTTAATAATGAAGTAAAAACAGATAAATTGTTCAAGTGCGCATCGACTCTTAGCAAACAATATTAGTTATACGGCGTACGTAAATTTTATTTCGAGTAAAATTCATAAAGTGTGGTGAAAACGGGTGTCCAAAATACTTATTGAGAATGTAGAATTATTTTTAAAAAGACTGGCGATTTTTATCATTCAAATTGGAAATGCATCATTATTAAAATTTTAATTACAATAATGAATTTATATTTTACATATTTGCTATTTTTATTGAATATTTTTGATAACAGAAACGCGTATACAGGTTAATTCATTCTTCGTGGCACATGAAGAATCCGCTGAGTATACTAAGTAAACTATATTCAAAATTTCTGAAAAAACCTTATTAGTCATTGATCATATTTGGCAAAAATTTTAGCTCAGGTATTACATTAAATATTGTTCCCTGTTGCTATAATTTTCTACTTATCTAACGAATATGAAAGGAGAAAGAAAAAGCCATTATTTATTTGTTATATAGGATAGTTTATCATACTTGCTGTTCAGCCAAAATGTCTCATTTTCACCTCGTTCAACAGGGACTCTTCAAGTGCTCAAAATGAACTTCTCGTGCGTAAACGCAAGATATGCATCTGCGCCACATGGTCTCTGCGACGCGCACATCTTTGTCGGGTTGTGTATTTATTTCAATGCGCCGAAGATCATCACGATCCTCAACTTCGATAGCATAAATGCGGTTTTTCATTAACCTCCAGCCCCAAAAGCGTTGTGAGTACCTGAGTTATAAAATTCAGATACTGAACGCCTCTTAAAGGCTCGAATAAGAAATGGGAACCGAGGATAAATTCATCCACAATGCCACATTTACCGACACATTTACACACCCGACACATTTACAGAAAATCAATCTTGATGAGTTACACTACGTTCAACAAACGGATTTCTTTCGGCTCTCACATGCAAATTGTGCGCATTAATTGTGCCAGTTTTTGTAAAACGCTTCACCAACCCCAAAGAACCAAATTCCTGGTTTTCTTTGCATTTGCGCAGAAAATGCCTAGACAATTGAAAACGACATTAGTGTCTTCTATGCGAATGCGTCTCCCGCTGGAAATGGAAAAGTAATTTTCACATGAATTGCTCGCCATACGAGGGACTTTGATGCCTTGGCCTCGCACACCATTTGCCTTGTGTTCGCTTCTGGTGCTACTCGGATAGTGTAAGGCTTTGAGTTCTCCAAAGATGTGTCGGGACCTAACGCAAGGTGAGTCGCTTTCTCACTTGACGTAACCCCTGTTACACGATCACAAGCGCCACTTCGAAGTTTAACGACAGTTATTTACAAAACTAAATGACGAAGAGTATCTAATATTGGTAATTTTAGATTGTACATTACATATAGGAGAAGGTCCTGATGTATTAGCAACGAGAACTGAATCACCATGTGTGTATGAGCATGATTTTATTTCAATGAAGTCCGTTCCCTAAGAAATAAATAAATATTTTCTAAGACCTAAATATTTTCTAAGTGGTTCATTTTTTTAGCATCTCATTTACCCACCCTTGGAAGAGCTGCTTTTGTCTCCGCCGCCTTCACCAACTCAATGTTGTCTATAGTGCGTAAGCACTCGACGATTTCCTCGTCGCTGCCCTCGCCGCAACCCACTGCTTTCGCCAGGTTCTTCGAAGTCTCGTAAGGCTTCCATTGTTGGTCCCACAAAATGGCGCCACTCTCGGAAATCCCTCCGTGGAATAGACCTTAGCGAATAAGAAACAAGCTCGTCACCCAATGAATTCAGGAGTTATTTAAATTACTAGTAACCGAGTCCGATTCACAAATTTTGCAAATCGTAAACAGTGTCATATAGCTATACATAAAAAATTACATGTCATTTTTCCATTACACGTGGCCATTACTCCGTAGCAAACCACCAAACAACACAATACCTTCTGACATGGGCGACAGCATGTGCCAGTTGACAGATGATCCTCCAGCGCTCTCACCAAAAATGGTGACCTTGTTGGGATCACCGTTGAAGGCAGCGATGTTCTTCTTCACCCAACGCAAAGCTCTCACCTGGTCCTTCAACCCAACATTTCCAGGAGCCGCGTCTTCCATAAACAAAAAACCTGCAAGAATCAAACAACAATTTTCCACATTTCAGTAATTCAATAAATAGCTCACAAAAAGGAAAACTCCAACCTCTCTGGCCTCTACAGATGAGTTCGAGAAATGTAAGTGCACAAAGAACATTTTTAAGCTGTGCTGGCAAGCAGTTTATCCAACGATTTCTTTCTGACAACAACTTCTTAGTGTCGAGGACAAGAATAGGTGATTCAAGTAATTTATGTTTCATGTACATCACATAGAACCAACACCTTAAAATATACCTAAAGCCGCACACTTGCGCGCTTTTGACATATGTTCCATTAGAGATATTATAGAGGAAGGTATCTTAAAGGAAAATGTTTGAATTTATTCTTGAATCATCAGCATTATTGATTTTTTAAGTCAACTTAATTCCACTATCGTTCCTTGTCCTCAGTTATCATCACTGCCTTTTTAATACTTGAGTCCCTTGAGTGCAGCAATTAGTCTGACGTAGCTCGTAAGCCCATTGCGGTCGAGAACTGCAGTCCGGTTCCTGACCAAGTACCTGACCCAGGGGAGAATCCCGGAAGTTTATTTATCTCAACAGTTCTATACGTATTTGAAAGGGTTGAATTCGAATTTGATGTATCCAACTCAAAAAGGTCGTCTTCAAAAAAAAAAAGATTCTATTTATACCACAATTTCTCCCTGACAAATTTGTAAATTTAATTTGAAAATGGTGGCATTTGGTGCGTAAAATAAGCAGTATGCGAGAAAGTAAGAGAATTAAAAGTTAATAAATATTACGATACTGGTAGCATTGGAAAACAGGTAGATCGTAAAATTTACAATAGTTTTTAAACACTCTGGAATTGTAAAATTCTACAAATATATTGTGACGTACCTGGGAAGCGGTACTCTCACGACAAAATAAATTATACAAAGGACGGGTGACAGTTTCGTGAATGGGCTTCCAGGGTTGGGCGCTGCATTGAGCAAGATGATCATAAGGAATTCTTTTGTGACATTTACAAATATTTTAATAATATAGAAACAGACACCTTTACAAAGAATTAATTAATCACATACGCAATTGCGCCAAGCCCTTTAAGTAATAAGTCACAATCAACGCTTACCTTGACGCTTTTAACAACCACCTGCTGGGCTGGAGACGAGCGGGCGCGCCGGGGCACGGGGCGGCGTTTTCGCAATCCTCGATCCGCCCGAAGTCAACGTCGGAATTCGCTCTCCCTCGGCGATCGACTCCACGCGATCCCAAGCAACGGGCCAACGAACTCGCCGCGGGTCCACCCCCAGCCCAGTATAATGACAATGTCTCACATATACTAAACACGCACGACGGGCAGCAGATTGGCGCCCGCGCAGTCCGCCGGTCTCAGCAATCCATTCTCAATCAATCCGCGCGAATGATTGACAGTACGGCCCCGCAATGGCTGCATTCACCCCGGGTGGAAATATATACAGTGTCCCGTCGGCCACACGGA